GGTACTTACGTATTATCGCAACCAGGTTGGCGCGATTTGTAAGTTTGAGTAAGAAAGTATGAATAGAAAGAAAATGTACATTTATTAATTACAGATAATTTTTAATACAGTTTTTTATATTATTTTGTTTTAAAATATAAAATATTATTTTGTTTTAAATATTTTATACAAATATATTACATTATTATTATATTATATTTTAAAATATATTAAATTTTAAATATATTATATTTTATAATAAAATATTATTTTGTTTTAAAATATAATAATTTCACGGCATTTAATCTAACCAGTAAACCAGTATTTTGAAATAATATTTTATTTTAAAATATAATATATTTAAAATATATTAAATTTTAAATATATTATATTTTGAAATAAATTATTATTTTGTTTTAAAATATAATAATTTCACGGCATTCAATCTAACCAGTAAGCTAAATAATTTCTTTACAAAAAACCATGTATAACACGTAGGATTGTCGTAAGTAGGGTCGCCAAATTTGGCAATTTATGCGAATTTTAGCCTGGTTGCGTTAATATGTAAGTACCTAAAATAATTTTTAGAAAACTAAAAAACCTTTTACTAATATAAGAATTATAACTATTAGTACCACACGCTATAAACCTAAATTTAATCGGATTTTTATGAAATTCAACAATTGGAAATAAATATGGAAATGTAATCCTATTTAACTTAAATTTTAAATTTTTACTAAATGCAATAATTCTCTTTTCAAAAACTTTTTTATCTTCTTTTAATTTTAAATAAGTATTATTTGCATTATATTCACCAATAATCAATTTTTTAAAAAAATATTTACACATAATACAGAAATTATTTGAAGCTTTATCTACAACAGTAACAATAAATTTATCCTTAAGAATTTTAATTTTCCTAGATAAATCATAATCTATATAAGTACCTTTAGGAAATGAACTAAGACAGTTATTAAATAAAATAAATTTAACCCTTTCAATAATTTTAGCTTTCCCCTCAGAAAAACCCTCAACGGGCCAATGATATTTTCTGGATATTTTTGCAATAAAAAAATCAAGATCCTTTTTAATAGATAAAATAAAATCTTCTTTTTTTCATTTTAACTCTGGTCCTAAATTTTGAACCTTTACTTAAAATGCTGATTAAATCTTGATCACCCACAATCTCCAAATTTCCCGTAATAACATGTCCATAATCATTATTAATAAATTTTGAAAAATCCTCTTCATTACAAAAACAATCAAATTTAGAAATACAATTAAGATTTCGACTTAAAAAATTGTAATTACACACTTTTTTTCTAAGCGTTCCTGCTGCTTTTAAATATTCTTCTACGCTTAGAAAAAAGGTGTGTAATAAAAAATTTTCAAGTCCAAATCTTAATTGTATTTCTAAATTTGACTTTTTATTATTTTGGGACAAAATAATAAAAAGTGGTCATTGAAAGAGTTTCTCTTTTGTAAGGAATTTCCACCAATTGTTTCTAATGTATTCTGCAAAAAAGACTCATCAAAAAGACATTTTGTAAATATTAAGTCACATTCTTTTAACCAGGGTCCTGCTTTTGAGAATTTGTGCAAATAGGGTCCTGTTATTGGAAAAACTTTTTCAATGAGTTTTTAAATTGTAAAGGCATACAGGATTATGCTCAACACTGTAAAATTATAATTTAAAAAAATTAAATTTTAAAAAATTAACGGCAATTGCTGCTACTAAATTAGAGATGCAACATACAAATATTTGGTATTTAGCCTATACTGCTGCAGCAGAATATTTATTTCGGACGAATCAAGGAAGAAACTTCTGCCGAAGACAAAACTCAGTTCGTTTACACCTGTCTTTCATTCCCCCCTCCCTGGGAAGAGTTTATTCGATTAACAAAACAATAACGAAGATAAACAAATTTGTGAATGGTTCGATTAAAAGATAAATTATTTTGTGAAGGGTCCGTTTTTAAGTTAAAATATTTTGTGAAGGGTCCGTTAACGGACCCAAATTTCTTCTAAACAGACCCCTGATTATTGAAACATTTTGTTCTTATTTAAGCAACTATTTTCATGCTTTAGGCTACTAAAAGCAATTATTTTGTTCATATTTTTCTGTGGCAACCCTGGAGTTGACATGGATTTACTATAGAATTGGTGCAAATAGAGCATGTTATAAAATAACTTAAAATTTGGCATACGTGTCGTAATCTTGTTAAAATATCAAAATTAAAAAGAAAGAAAAAAAAAGTGGAAGTGGCTGAAAAAAATAATCAAAAAATGAAAAAATATTATTAGATGGGTCAATAAGTGATATTTGAATGAATTGTTAACAAATAGTCATTACTCAAATGTTAGATTTGGAAATCTTTTGTGTCATATATAATTAAAAACAGGATATAAGCTTGCTGGAATAAAGTCGGAAATTTTTTTTATTTTTACAGGAAACCCATTAAGTAAATTTTTTCAGTTATATGTTTAAGTAATTCTATGTTGCATTTCTATTGCATCTTTTTATTTTATTTAATGAAATTTTTTTTCTCCCAAACTCTGTTAAATATGTTGTAAAAATGTTAATTTATGTGCTAAAAATCTAATTTTATAAGAACTCTGCTTCTCAGAATATAAAGACTATTTGTTACAATCTGCTCCTAACACCAAATTTATTTTGCTTCAAAACACATTTTTTATGTTCCAAAAGGGTTATGCTGTTGTTCCATTCCTGATTTTATGATTTATAACATTTATGCTTGCAAATTCTGATAATCGATATAATTTTTATACTCATTGTAACTTTTTTTTCTTCCAGAGGTTCTGAAAAGGAATCGATTGAGTTGAAGTCTTAGCGATTTAATGTTTTCAGAAAAAGTCAAAACTTTAATTTTACTTTGAAATCTTTCTTATTTTTTTTTTTTTTTTTTTTTTTTTTTTTTTTTTTTTTTTAAAACAAGAGTTAACTTTAATACAGTGAAGAACAATGGAAGAAATTGTTCAATGTGATGAAAGAAATAAAGTTGAGGAAGAAGAGCAATATGATGATGATGAAGAAGAAGAAGAAACAGTTCTAAGTGAGCAAGAAGAACATTATGACGAAGAAGAACAAAATGAAAGTTCTGAAGGGAATGTGACCCTTACACACAAAAGGAAGTACATATGCAACGTGTGTCAAAAGACTTTTAATTATCGATCTGTTTTTATCCGACATCAGAATGTCCATTCATTTGAAAAACCTTACTTCTGTGACGTCTGCAAGAGGACATTTCGATGCGAAGAGAAGCTTCAAATGCATTTGTTGTTCCACACCAAAGGGCCTTATACGTGTGAAGTATGTGACAAAACCTACTCCAAATTGCGTTATCTCCGAACACACTTTAAACTTCACACGAATGAAAGATTTTATGTTTGTAATGTTTGCAATAGAACATTTCAGCAACTGAAAAGTCTGCAAATCCATCAAATGACACACACGGATGAGAAACCTTACACTTGTGAAACTTGTAATAAAGGTTTTAAACATATTTCTTACCTGCAAAGACATATACTTATCCATGCAGAGGAAAAACCACACGTGTGCTACGTCTGTAAAAAGAGTTTTTCTCGAAAAATGTACCTGAAAAATCACTTGCTCGTTCACACAAGCGAGAAATCTCATGTTTGTGAATTATGCAATAAGGGTTTTGCGCGTTTGTCTAGTTTACAAAAGCATTTGACTATACACAGTTGTAAAGAAACCTATGCTTGTGAACATTGTGACGCTAAGTTTACTCAAAAAAGAAGGTTTGAAAAACATCAAGTGAGACATAACGATGAAAACTGTTTGCATGTTTGTGAAATTTGTGAAAAACGCTTTATGCAAAAAACTGAGCTTCAAATGCATTACGCTACTCATCTTAAAGAAACGTTATTTGAATGTGAGAAATGTAAAAAAGAGTTTAATCGCAAAGATAATTTTAAAAGGCATTTACAAATTCATAACAAATGCCGTGTGGTGACTGAGAACGCATGATTATTTATTTAAGACATAATTCTTTTGTCAAGTTGATGCAAAACCAAAAAAAGTGTCTATGAATCAAATTGTTTGTTAAACTACACATGATATTATGGCAGTTATGAGAAAAAAAATTTATACTTACATTTATTTTTTAGAAAAAAATTTTTTATTGTGAAATTTTTTTTTTCCTGGTTAATTTATATTTATCTATACAGGGTGCCCCAAAACTCATGATGCATATGTGAAAGAGTGATAAAACACAGATAGAAAAGCACAAATCACCATACAATCAATGATCAGAATGCTAATCGTAAAGCATAGTTCTGCTTTCTACACAAAGAATGGGTAGCACGTGTTTGGTCAGATAGTACGGTATGTTAAGTCTAACCACTAACCGGTCGTTTGCGCCGTATTAAAGCGAGCTTTTCTTTCACAGTTTTTTTATTATATTAAATGTTATTCTAACAGACCTTTATTTTTTTTATGAAATATTTTTTTCTCCGTGAAACTTTTTTCTGCATAAGTACAAACCAGTCGAAAATGTTCTCATTGTGAAAATGACTGTTAGTGCTAGTACTGTTAAATACATTAAAATTTAACTGTGGACGATGATTTTTAAATTTGGATACTATTGTAAGCCAAAAATTTTACAATCGAAACATTGTTTTTGAATATATGGGGAAAATTATATAGAAATTGACCAGTCATAAATGATTTTTATTTGTAGTGACAATTTTTGAAAATATCTTCCTACTTTACCATATTTTCTTTTAAATTTAATAAAAAAGTAAGTAAGGAAGAAAGGAATAGCTTAGTTAAAACTGGCAATTAAGTATTGACTTGCAAGACTCCTCTGTGTGTACTGCAGCATAAATAAGGCACATTCAAATTTATTATAATTAAATATTTTTATAAAATTATTGGTTCAATAGACTTTTTTTTTGTTGAGTTATGCAGTTGTGAAGGATTGCATAATATAAAGTTATGTTTGATTATATATATTTTCATTTAAAAAAATCTTTGTCTTTATTTATAAATTTTTAAATATTTAATTTTTTCAACTACTTGGGATCAATCAAGTACAACATCAAATCTTGTCTAAGTATGTTAAGGTTAAAATTCTGTCCTGTTATCTCAGTATACTGTTGATCAGCAGAGTACTCTAATTAAAATAATATTGTGTATATGCATTCATTTTTTATTATAATTTTTATTTTTCACAAATTATGTTTAAATTTTCACAAAATAAGTACCTCTTAAAAAAAACCTAAACAGACCCCCAATGCTCCAAAATTGGGGTCCACGGGCATCTGTCACAAAAACCACGAGGTGAAATTCACAATTGCTTTGTAAGCCATGAACTCTCTGCGCTTGGTATAGATATATTCCTTCTTTTCGCAGCACTCGCTGCACAGTTTAGGAAAGTGTCAGTGTCTGAGATTCAGGTCTCTCGCTGACACAATGCAAAAGTCACACATTAGAGTTAGCGTTTTTACAGTCCTGCTATGTCCGGTATCTTGCTTTCAGTAGGAAAAGAAATGGCTTTTGCAGAATTGTTCGTATGGTCGTTAAGTGGTCCTCGAATCGGGGACGCGTCTCGTTAGAAAACGACTTATGGCATTGAGCAACCTTTTTATTGCGGCTGTTGGGAGGTGCGGTTTGCGTGGATTCTATGGTGATTTGTGCTTGACTAGTAGTGCTCTGTCACCCTCTGACATGTGTACTATGAATTTTGGGGGGCCCCCCGTATAGGACAAAATTATGGCTCATTTTGTGGCCACTCATTTAAAATTTTAAATGATAAAAGAAAACTTGCTATTAATAATGTTAGGCATTTCTAAAATTATTTTAACTATTGCAAGGTTTGTTTCTAAAATGATAATGCACTGCATTACAAATAATGTATTTGAAATGTATCTTAAAGTAGGTCTTAATTTTAAAAAATTATTTTCTTAAGACTTTTTTTATTTATATTTCTTTTATCATGTTAAATAATGCTTAAATTTTAGAGAATAATATACAATTTTTAAAAATGTTGTGGATCTAGACATATTTGATAACGCATCATTTATACTGGAAAACTTACTCATAATTTTTTGATCTCATAAAAATTTGCAAACATTGAGAAATACTTGTTTGATTTTGGTGATTATCATTAAAAGAAATTGTCTCTTAAAATTGTCTTTTTTTTTAATGATATTTTTTTTTTTTTTAAATAACTTTTTAACTTGATGTATTTGGCAAAAAGACTTTGAAAAACAGCTGTTACCACTATTCAGTGAAAAGTTGCACATAACCTTTATTTTTTTTTTTTTATTTATCCAAAATCAAGCGAAAAAAATTTGCTTTGTACCTTAAATATAATAATTTGGATTCAATTAAAAACTCAAAATTATGACCTTACAAATATGTAAACTATTATAAAACCTTGCATAGGAATAATAAATAATTCTATTATTTAACATGTAATTTAGGCATTCTATTGCAACACGCTCTTGTAACTAGAATCTATATTGTGACACAATCTACGTGGCAGAGTCACAGTCCTATGTTGTGACTAGATCTGTAGAATCAGGAGTTGAAATGTTCGTCTCGGACTTGTACTCGAAAGAAATTTTCACTGAATTGGTAAAAAATAGTATTAAGTAAATATTCATGTCCGTCTGTACATTCACCATTAGAAATTCACCATTGATTTTAATTAAAGTATTTTATTTAAAATCACGTTTCATACATTACAACATAACAATTAGAAATATATGCTTTCATAGAATATGGGAATTGTGTAAAATTTCTATAAAAAATCAATCACTCAAGCACATTTATAAAAATTTTATTACAAAAAACTTTTTTAAAGAATATATTTTGAACTAGAAAACTATAACATGTATGATACATAGAATTCATTTGTAAGTGAATCTTTTTAGTTCAGGTTTTTAATTTCAGTTTTTAACTGAAATAAATGAATTTGGTTTTTTGATGCTTGTATTTTTTCAACAGTTTAGTTTAAACTCAAAAAATGTTCATTGTTAAATTGTGATAAATAAATTTTTTTTACATTTGAGTAATGTCCCGCACTTGACTGATCGTTAAGACACGGTTCCCAGTAGAACACCGGTCAGTGGGTGACCACTTTGATCAGTCTGTGTAAGGACCGAGGATGCATGTTATCGGTCCTCTTTAAACTGTGCTATCGTTCCTGTGCAGATAGTCTGGCTACTAAAGCAAAGTAGCCCTCCCCTCTGCAGAGGATCAAAATTGTGATGGCATGTCTTCAGATCATTCTCGGGGATGTTTCCTAGACCGTTGCTAATAGCCCATTGTGCAGCTCTAGTGCGAAGTAAATAAAGTACCTACCTACATTTGAGTAATATTTTATTTTCTCTTATAATCAATATTTGTCTAAATCTACAGTTTTCATTTTTTTACTGCTACAGAACTAGCAAGCATCTTTTGGTGGAACCCCAAATATAGAAATAAAATTTATTAACAGCCAAACATATTTACCAAAGACTACTAATTATTTTGATAGTATTTAATGTGAAGAATGAAATTTTTTCAATAAACTTCTTAAAATAATAATTTTTATGTCTTAACTACTGAATTCACAGTGGTATCTAATCTAGTTCTGAATTTAAATTTTTTTTTTTTTTTGGGGGGGGGCATACTTTAGCTGAAACTGAATAAAATATTTAGAATTATGGTTTCAGAGAAGAACTTAAATAAACGGATAGTTATCAGACAACATAGTTTGTTATTCTTAAATTGGGTAATTTTATTTTTAATTGAAAATATCAGCAAGAAATATGGATGCAAATTTTGCTATTTCTTTTTTCACTGACCTTTTTATTCTTAAAACTAGGCAAACTATCAACGAAATTATGTTTATTGTTTTGATATAAATAGAATTTCAAGTTTCAAAAATCATTACTGGTTTAAGAAATTTAAGACTCTCGGAACCCCCGTGATCCCTTAAAGAACCCCAAGGTACCGCGGAGCACCATCTGGGGAATCACTGGTCGTAATTTTCATAAGTTATAAATCTTTTGTTGATCTTTAGAGCCTAACATTTAATCAATCAGAGTTGAACAAATTTTTCTGACTTAAGTGACATTTTCATCTCCAATTTGTCAGCCCTAGTTATCATCAATTAATGGCTATTTTTTGCACCAACTTTTAATGTAATGCAATTGAACCTTGATTGCTTGAATTGTTTTTCTTTATTTTATCAGTTTTATTTGCTGATTGTCAAATTAAGAACTTGCAAAGTAATATAATTAATAATAAAAAATAATGAGATTAAGTTTTCTATTCTTGTCTGGTTTTTATTAAAATAGAAAATTGGCTCTCTGCAATTAACATTACACGCACTTTTTTATTACTGTTTTGTGGACAAATCGCATCACATGAACTCATAATCAAAAATTATATGTTTTAAATGTTCAAACAATTTTTTTTTAAAGAAAAGTTTATAACATATGTACTGGTAAATAGTGAATATGTGCCACTTATTGAAATTATATGTGTATGCAGGCAGGGGGGGGGGTAAATAATGGAAACATTTCTATACTAATATATCTTTTCATATTTCTCAAGAAATTCTTAAAGAATCATTTTATAACTTCAGAAGTGTTTACATCATGTGATTTCTCATACTTATTCATGACGATCAGAAGTTAGAGGGACCGACAATAAATTACAAACGGAAAATGGTGTTTTTGAGCACCCTATGCCGAAAAATGTAGCAATCAATTTGTCACTTGTAACAATTAGTTTTGGTTATTATATGCAGTAATTGCACAAAATTTCGTAAGCCTCGCTTAAATATTTCTGAAGTTATGGACATTTTTTTTTTTTATGAAAAACAAATTTTTTTTTTTGTCTTTTTTTTTTTATGAAAAACAAATTTTTTTTTGTCTTTTTTTTGCTATAACTTTAAAAATATGCGAATTAAATTAATAATAAAATGTTTCTTTTAAAATTTGAAAAAAATTCGTTGAAACTGTGCAGTATATAAGTAATTAAAGTAGTTCTTTTATACTGCGCAAACATGAAAAAAATTTAACAATTTTTTTTTCCTTCATAATTTTGTAGTGAATTGTATTTAGCATATAATGAAAAAAGTCAGATTTGACTATCTTAAAAATGTGAAAAGTTTAAAGTAGTTTTTGTACTATTCAAAAGAAACTCAAAATGATAAGGGATTTTCTATAAATATTATTTTGTATCATAAGACAAAAGGTGATACCTTACAATAAACGTTCATACACCGAAATATGATTGTATAAGGTGATAAAGCATGCGAATGAAAAGATACTTTTATGGCGGATGATCCCCAACAATTGTCTTTTTTTAATAATTCATTGTATAAGGTGATAAAACATGCGAATGAAAAGCTACTTTTATGGGGATGATCCCCAACAATTGTCATTTTTAATAATTCATTGTATAGGGTGATAAAGCATGCGAATGAAAAGATACTTTTATGGGGGATGATCCCCAACAATTGTCATTTTTAATAAACCTTGTTTAATAGTACAAAATGAAATACGTGGAAAACGCCTTATTATTTCGAGGTCTCTTTTTAAAAAGTACGAAAACTACTTAGAAAATTGCTTAAAACTTATTAAATTTTTAAGATACTTAAATCGGACTTTTTTTATTCGTTGCCAAATACAATTCACTATAAAATTATGTAAGAAAAATCTTTTAATTTTTCTCACGCATTCGTATTATAAAAACTATTTTAACTACTCATACGTTTCGTAGTTTTTTTTTAAAAACAAAACATTTTAAATTTTGAAACAATAATTTTATTATCAATTTCGAATTGCACTGATTTCTTTTTTAATATATTGAATATTTTTATTGTTATAGCAAAAAAATGTAAAACAAAAAAAAGTATATTTTTTTTTACAAAAATGTCTATATAATCATAAATATTTAAGCTAAATTTACGAAATTTCGTGAAATTATTACATATAATGACCAAAAATAATTGTTAAAAATTTATTGCTGTGTTCAAAAACAGTATTTCCGTTTGTAATTTATTGTCGTATTATGTAATTTATTACATAAATATTTAAGCTAAATTTTCGAAATTTCGTGAAATTATTACATATAATGACCAAAAATAATTGTTAAAAATTTATTGCTACATTTTTTGACATGGTGTTCAAAAACAGTATTT